AGAAGCGAGGCTCTATCCACAGGCGCTGGGGAGGTTGTGAGCCAAGGGGAAGGAGCCCCCTAGCTTTCCCTCTGCGTGGGGACATGGGACACAGATCGTGTCCATGTTTGCCTGCACTTACAAATAAATGAACTGAAGCCATCCAGCCCCGTACTGGTGTGAACAGTGCAAATAAAAATATTAGTGCCAGGTGGGATTCCAGAGGAGAGAGATGGCAGGCTGAGGACTCCACTGTGGCACACCAGGGGGCCAGATGCAACATACACTGGCCGGGCAGACAGATGAAGATCAGGTGGAGGACAGGAGCTCCGTGGGGCCAACGCCCGTCACTTCCCCTTTCCGTGCTAAGATCTCCCGGCTGAAAAATGATCCCACACACCCAAGTCACCCAGGCCCCTGATAGCTGTTCAGAGTGCTACTGTCCTCAATGCCCGAGGAGGTAGGGGTGGGAGAGAGAGCAGGGAGGAGTAGGCAGACCCTGGCTTTGCAAAACCAGAGCAGCTCTACACAGTTTGTCACAGATCCCTTCCATGCTTGGGGTAAGGATGACTCCAAGGCAAGGTGCATCCTGACACCCAGGAAGAGCTTGGTGGCTTTGAAGTGTCAACTAGGCATGCTCTTGTGCTGTCAGGGAGCCCTCCAGAAGGGCTGGGTTTCATCTTTTCTGAGTGGCGTGCAGCACCCTGCAGTTGTGCACGTGTGTTGTCTAGGGTTGTCACTAACTTCCTGTGTAGGTGTGGTCTGAGGTTCGAAGCTTTCACTGAGGTCCGGTGTTTCTCTCTTACCAGCTGCAGGGTGGCCTCTTTGTTCCTTGGCTGGCTTTTGCTATCCTTCTTCTATCCTTCTGGAAAATGCTCTGTAGCTGCTGCACTCGTTTGTGTTATTGAGGGCGGAGAGCACTGTGAGGTCTGAAGGCTGGAAGAAGGGGGGAGGGGAGCAACACTGAGTGGCCCCTTATATAATGCCAGGCACTGCGCTAGGAATTTTAGACACTTTTTGTTGTATTCAAGCCTCACATTAGTTCATGTGGAGCCACACTCAAGAGAGGTTAAGTGACCAGCCCAAGGTTGAATGAGGTGACAAGGTCAGGATTTGATCCCAGCCCTGACTCCAGCACTCCTGTTATTAATATTTCAACTAAGTCCTGGAGCTCACTGCACCTTTGGTTCCGCTCTTTTGGGTAGCTCTTGGTTACTTATTGGGCATCTTGGGGGACAGCATCCCCTTACGCCCCATAGTTTTCTCCCAGCCCATTGTCTTCCAGGTTCACCCTTCCGCCTGTCTGAGTGATTAGATGGCCCATGGATGCTTTGCTGACTTTCTCCTCTCCCAGTCGTCCTCCCCATGCTCTGGGAATCCCAGAGGTGTTGGGTGGTGGTCTGTAGCTGGTGATCAAAGTGGATTAGTCCATTTCCTGATTTCCCACAAACAATAATCTTTTCCTACTTCTGGGCACCCAGCCCTTATTATTCTGCTGGTCACCATGAGCTTCTGCACCCAGATGGGTTTCTCACGTGTCAAGCTCTTCCCTTGAAGAAGGAAGAAGAGAGTATATCTAGGTATGTTTGCAAAAGCTTGTGAAAGGGTGCCAAGGAAAGGACCCAGGACCTTGAATGTGCAGGTGCACGGGAGAGCCAAATTCGGCCAGCCTCCTCCTTAGTAGAGTAGCTGTTAGAATTTGCCAAGCTCTGGGTGTCTCCTGCAAAGGAAGAATGGGAATGTTTTCCAAAGGCCCTGTATCCCCTTCACTTACCCATCTGGTTCTCCTGTATTTTCTGAAAAACCTCTGAAATTGTATCACCTGTGCATCAGGTTCTGTGGATCAAGTTACATTTACCACTAGGGGCACTGTCTTAAGCAGTGGGCAGTTACAAGTGTTTTCAACACAGCTATTAATTACGCTCAAGGGGCTTGCGGTCTACACGGGCACATGGAACCCTTGCCCAGAGAAGCTAAATGCAGTGAGCTCAGAAGAGCCAGGGAGAGCTCAGCAAGTGGGGGTGGTGTCCCTGGATGGACTGCAGGAGTGAGGCCACAGCAGGGGGCTGGGAGGGCGGGGCTGCCAGGGAGGAATGTGCTCAGCTTTGGGGCTTCAGGGTGCATGGAGAACAGGGGAGGAGTACAGGTGGGCTGGAGCAGAGGTATGCATGGAAACAAGGTCGAAGAAGCACATGTGCATTATTTATGAGGGATCCCAAGGGATGGCCACGGAGTTTGGGATTGAACTCCCAAGCCAATCAAGTGGGACCAGGATAGATAAAAATAATGCTGTAAGAAGATCCATCTGGATTTGTGGGCTGTGAATGGGCAATGCTGGGGGGTGATTAGAAGACATTTATCACGGTGAATTTTAGAAATGAAATGTTGAGGAGTTGGACTAAGGGTGGTGACAGTCTATATAGAAAAGAATGTAGATAGAGAAGGGAAAGATTTCAAATCCCAGCTCTGCCACTTACTACCTGTGTGGCCCTGAGAAAATTATTTAATCTCTTTGTAGCTTAGATTTGTTCTCCATAAATAAAATCTAAAAACACTTCTCAGAACTGTTGTGTGAGGGTTTTAACTTGTAACACACCCAGCACTTAGTAGTTGCTCAACAAATCCGAGTCCCCTCTCATTGTGAGAAGCATGATTTGGGACTGACTGGGAGGAGCTGGGGGAGTGGAGTACGAGGTTCTGCATCTGGGAGCAAAGCCTTCACAGAAAGGGATGGAGTTGTTTGGGGTCCCTGAATTCAGTTTTAGGAGCACTCTTCACCCTGAACCTTGGCTGCTGAGGGGTGCGACAGAAAGCCCCACAGCCATGCAGATTGTGCCTCTGCGAAACCAAAACCGTGGCCTCTAGTTTCAGCTGGCCAGACACCAGCCCTCTCTCCAGTCACGGTCCAGACTAGGTGAGATGAATGAGCCACCTAGGGCACAGATGTAAGCAGCTTTTGGGTTTCAGTGCCATGACTGCCCTTGCAAGATGCCCCACAGTGGGATGTGCCACCCCGGCCCCACTTCCATTGAGCCCCTCTCCTTGTCTGGCCTTTGTCACTCAGGGGACAGCCTGGCTTCATTCATTCACTGCAAACATCCCTCAGCAGTGAGCTCGCTCAAGTTTCTGCCTCCCCCCTGTGTGCTGACCTGCATCTGGGCTCATCCCAGCCTGGTTGTCTTCTACTCAGTGAGAGAAATGTCCCTCCTTCTGAGAACCCTCTCCCTGTACAGGAGTCCCTACGCCTCCTGCAGCCCCTGCAACCTCACCCCTCCAGTCCTTTGGTAGCAGAGTGTTTCCTGAAACTTCATCCTCCTCTACCTCGCATCCTCTTTTCTTCTGCCCTCACTGACACAGCCCACTCAGGCTGGCTTCCACCTGTAGGGGGTGTGCCCGGACCTGGGCAGGGACCTGGCGGGTTTTGCAGCAGAGGTTTCCCGCCTTCTGCAGGAACTGCCCTCTCTAAGGTCACCTGCGACCTCCATGTTGCCACACCTAACGGACACTTCAGTCCTTATCTTTCTGGGCTCTTGGCTACTTCTGACAGTGTGGACAACTTCCTCCTTCTTGCAGTTCTGTTTTTTCTCTTGGCTTCTTCGATTCCACAATAAATCTTTCAGCAGCTATTTTTTAAAGCACCTACTATGCTCCAGGCTCTGGGGTACACCATAATAGGGTGTCCCTACTGTTAGGGAGTTTGTAGTCTAGTGTGAGGGAAGAGGGATAAAAAGTAAATGTCAGGTGGTGATGAGGGATGTGAAGAAAAATACAACAGGGAAGGGGACAGAAGGGTGCTGGGGTCTGGGTGGGCCTTACTCGTCAGTGTCTTTTTAGGTCAGTAGAGCAGAAACCTGGGGAAGCAAAGGATGCCTGGGGGGACAGTGTCCTTGGCAGAGAGAAGAGCAAGTGCGGAGGGCCTGAGCCTGTGTGAGGTGTTTGAGGAAGCCATTGTGGCTGCAGGAAACTGAGGCAGGGCAGAGTAGGAGGAGAGGAATGGACTAAGGTGTCTTGGTCCATTGGGGAAGGGGCCCAGCCAAGTCATGTGGACCTCGTGGGTCGTTTCAAGGACTTTGGCTTTTACTCTGAGAGAGGGGAAATACTGTAGGAGTGTTGTGAGCAGCGGAGTGACTAAGCGATCACTTAGGCCACTCTAGGGAGCGTGGTGTACTAGTTTGCTGGGACTGCCATAACAAAGAACCACAAACTGGGTGGCTTAAACGACAGAAATGCGTTGTCTCACAGTTCTGGAGGGTGGGAATCCAAGATGTCAAGGTGTTGGCAGGACCACGCTCCCTCTAACGGCTCTGGGGAAGGATCTGCTCCAGGCCTGTCTCCTAGCTGCTGGTTGTGCCTTGGCTTGTGGCACAGTAACCCCAGTCTTCACCCAGGTGCTCTTCCTTGGTGTGCCCAGTTATCTCCTTTTATAAGGGCACCAGTCATATTGGGTTGGGGACTCCCACCTATTTCAGCACGATGTCATCTCAACTGATGACGTCTGCAATGACCCTGTTTCCAAATATGTCACATTCTGAGATACTGGGGGTTAGGACTTCAGCCCAGGAGTTTTGAGGAGACACAGTTCAGCCCAGAAGATGTGGACTATAGAAAGATGAGGGAAGGAGTTGGATGACTAGTTAGGGGGTTATTGCAATGACCCAATGAGAGATGCTGCTTGCTTGGACCAAAGAGTTAGTGGAGGTAGTGAGGAATGATGAGAATTTGGATATAATTTGAAGTTAAGCTGACATCATTTGCTCATGGATTAGATGTGGGTTGTGAGGGAAAGAGGGGAACTATGATGATTTAGGCTTAGGGCCCAAGTAACTAGAAGAATGGAGTTGCGTGTCTTCTTCTCCTATATCCTGCCCTCCCCTCAGGGACCTTCCTCAGCGGCTTTCCTGGGTCCTCCTGGGCAGGCCCATTAGTTGTTGGGTTATTTCTCCATTCCCTCCCTGATTGGTACTGCCTCTTCCCATGTTGAAGCCAGATACCCTGAATATGCTCTTTGGGTCACCCTACAGGCCCTGGCTGTGGAGGATGCTGAAGGAAGAGGACACAGAAGCAGAACGACCCTGAAAGATTCAGCCTCTTAATCCTGAAACAGGTAGCTTCTCTGAAATTCTTCTTGTTGGAACGTTTTATGACAAAGTGGTCATACAAATGTTTCTTTGAGCCCTGTGGTACAGAGAATGCCCCAAGAAGGGGAGGAGGCTACCTTGGTTTGGATACCCATAGATTTCTAGAAAACTTTCTGTAGGAAATGTCCAGTGATAGCGGATCCACACATTATTGGTTTTCAACATCATTACGAATGGGGCTGAGGGCATCCCATCTTGTCTCTGTGGACTTTGCAGAATTGTTGTAAATGGTTAAAAATCCAATGCACGTTCCTGAACAGCAGCCCTAGAAGTGTTTAGGAGTTAACATGGCTGGGATGCACCTCGGGAGAATCATAAAACTTCCTAGAAGGCTGCTGTGAGAAAGGCCACAGAGCCCGTGGGTTCCTGGACTACCAAGCCTTAGCTGGTTCTGTGGCATTTCTGCTGTTTTTTTTTATCAGCCCTGGCCCTGTGGTCACTTCTAGTCTCAGTTGAGAAAATGGGCACACGACTCTGATTCCTCTGCCAGCGCCCACACAGAAACTGTCTGAAGGGTCAGTTGGTTTGTGTATAAACAGAATTTTTAATTTTAGGGGGGTTGTAAGCCCTGGTCTAGCAGGAGATGGCTCCTTTCCACACATTCTCAGTGACAGTGGGGAAGGCGGATGGTGACGTCTGATTTGATTTTCCAGCGCGAGTGGTTTTGTTTTCTTGGCATGTGCTACACTTCTCATTCTTCTTATGTGAGGCTCCGAATCGATTGCTTCAGTTTCTTTTGTATTGTGCCTGATTTCGATTTAATTTTTAAGCCGTTGTGTTTTGGGGTTCCAGTTGGAAACAGATGTCTCACTCACGTGGGGCAGCGCAGAGACTCTGCTGAGGTGGCTATTGATAAGGTGCAGGTGGAGGTGAGGGAAGTCACGGAGTCCCAGGGAGCTGCTACCGGGCCAGGCCTGAAAGGGAGTGAGAGGGATGGGTCATCAGGATTGGGAACGGGAGCTGGAAAGGGTGTTTCTGGTAGAGGGATGCCATCAGCCTCCAGCAACGTGGCTGGGAAACAGCCCAGAGAATAAATATCCTCAGTGAACTCCCCTCCCAGGTCTCCCACCTCCTGCTGGTGGCACTGGGAGCAAGGTGGGTGCTGTCCACAGGGCAGGGCTCCGGGGGCAGAGCTGAGTCGGGGAGGCAGGAGGGTGGTCTATGAAGCAAATGGGAACTGTCGTACAGAGCTAAGAGATGCAGGCCACTTGGATTATAAGGGGCATTTCTACTTTAGAACAAAGAGAGGCTTTTGTGTTCATCTGAGTGAGTGAAACTTCGCATTATGAAGTCAACCACATAGAACCAACCGCTGGCCGTGAGACCACCAGGAACAAGAAAAATCCTCATCCTTTTTATATTAATAGTTGAAAGGCCCCACGGAAGTCAAGTGACTTGCCCAAGGCTACTTGTTAATTCATTAATGTGATTCCTGAAAGCCTGTGACATTTTGGGGGGAGTGGGGTAAGGAGGGGAAACAGTATAAAGCATTTGAAATAGTTAAAAACTGTAAAGCAAAATCTGAGCAAGTGGCAGGAAAAGGCTGTGGGTTAGTGTTTATCTGAGTCCAATTGGGCTGTTATAATGATACCATAGACGGAGTGGGTTATGCACAACAAAAATTTATTTCTCACAGTTCTGGAGGCTGGAAGTCCAAGGTGAGGGTGCCAGCATGGTCAGGTTCTGGTGCGGGGGAAGCCTCTTCCAAGTTGTGGACAACTTCTCACTGTGTCCTCATTTGGCAGAAGTCTCTAAGGCCTCTTTTATAAGGGCACTAATCCTATTCATGAAGTCTGTGCCCTCAAGACCTAATCGCCTCCCAAAGGCCCCACCCTTAATACTATCACCTTGGGGGTCAGGATTTCAACAAATTAATTTTAGCAGGAGTCATACACATTCAGACCATAGGAGTTCTTGTTTCCCATTTATTATTTTGGATTCTTGGGCTGTGAATACCAGAAAACCAAACTCACAGGGGCTCCCACAACACAGGGGATTAGTCAGCTCATGTATCTATAATGTGTAAGAATAGGGTGGGCTGCAGGGTGGGTATGAACCAGCAGCTCAGCAGGTACCTAACCCATCCAGTTTTTTCTCATCTTTCTGTTCATTCTTCCCTGGCTCCGTTCATGCTTAGGCTGGGGTCTGCACTGGGCTGGGGGAGGATTGGGTACCTAGCAATCTGGATACTGTTGAGGGAGGAGGGAAATGGATATTGGGAGCGGTTGCTAACATCCACCATATTGTATCACCTGTAGAAGTTGAGTAAAACCTCACTCATTTGGACTCATTGTTGGGGGTAATAGCGAGAGGAAACCCACTCTTAACTAGTAAAATTCTGAATTTTAAAGTGTTTTAATACAGCATAGATTCAGGCATAATCTTCCTAAATAGCTCTTTTTAGAAGCAATTAGCATCTATTTCTCAGATGTCTTAAAATGTAGGACCTTCTAGTATGCCCTCTGTGTCCTCTTTAATTTCTAATTTGCTTTTTCAACCTTTTAATGGCCAGAGTAAACACTGAACTAAAATTCTGGGTTGGTGGATATTAAATTACAGTAATGAGGTTCTTCATTTAAGACCTCATCTATAAAATGGGAATAACAATAGCACCTACTTTATAGGTTTGCTGTGAGGATTAACTGAGGTAATCCAAGTCAAGTGCTTAGCCCAGTGGCCGGCCCAATAAAAGTTACCTTTATTAGTGTCATATATCTCAAAATATTGTCACCTTTACGTGTTTATGTGCATTTTTAATCTAGGAAATTAACTGTCTTCCCAACAAATACATTATTTGCCACTGATTAGCTCTGTTAGAGATGAGGTAAATAAAGGTATTAAAATATTTAGTGTTTATGGATTTTTTTTTTTTTTTTACTGAAGTGCTTTTTTATTAGACTTAATTTTAGGGGAAGCCTAAATAAAGAAAAGTTTAAGTAGCACGCAATTAAGTTAAAAATAGGTATAATCTCTGGAAAATAGAAATTTTAAAATTTTATGGCAACATGTTAATATATTCTTTGTTGAAAAATGTTGTAAACAATTGATGGCTTGTCATGGCCTGTGTCAACTGGTTTTCTTCCTTTATTTTCACTTTGGAGGCTCTGGAGGGAGGATTGACTGTCCTTGGCTTTGCTTTCCCAAACCAGCTGCACAGTTAGGCTCTCTATGGTGGGTGGATTTTAGACCTGGATTGAGTGAGAATGCTGCAGTCGAGAGAACTAGTATTGGATGTTTATTTCAATAGAATTTCTGCTGACAAAATGCTGTGGACCATTCTCTAAAGCCTTTGGTGCTGTAATTCCAGGAGGGTTGATTGTCTTGATTTGGCGTTCCCAGAGTGATGGTGGGGAGAGCAGAGGTTGGCACTGTGCCCCCAAAAGCTTGATTGCCTGTTTCAACATCAGGAGGTAGCTGTGAGGATGGGAGGGGTGGGTGTGTAGGGGTGCAGCAAGAGGGGAATGTTCCAAAGTGATCAGGAACTTCAAAGACCATAAATTTTTCATGTCCCTTCCCCTGAGTATTGACTAAAATCAGACTTACGTTTTCTGTAGGTTGTTTGTTGCTCTCAAGGCTCATCGCTGTTTTGATACCTAGATGAGAACTAATGGACCCTAAATTCCTTGGCTCAGAGGGTGCTACAGATTAGTTCCCAAGTGAAGATTGCCTGGATCAAGAAAGTCCCAAAAGAAAAATGCTTTGGGGGATTGGCCTAGGCTCCCAGTTTTTTTATTTTGCTTATTGAGGACATTTTTAAAACTCTAACATTCATCAGCAAAATTTTATTAAGAGACTAACTATCTTGATGCCAAAATAGTAGGAAGGAGATAATGTAAGAACAAAACATAAATCTTTACATTGAAAACACTCAGCTTTAGGAATAACTTACCACAGTTATTTTTCTGACGTCACCTTTGGAAACGACATCAAGAATGGGCGCTACCCTGCATCTGTCCATGACAGGTGTTGGAGACCCAGCCGGAGACGTGGAGTCATCTACTTAATGAGCAACGTAGGGAAGAGTATCATACTTTTTGAAGTCTTGCTTGAAGCCTATGAGTTCTCTAGATCATGTGTTGATTATATTTATAGGTTAAGGTTGGAGTAAATTTCATTTCAATACAAGTCTTGATAAATCCAATTCATTTTATAAATAAGGAACTGTTTACCTTCCAGTCATTAACTTCGAATTGTTAGTTTAATTCCACCAGCAGGAAGAAAATCTCGAAATACCTAAATAGCTCAAATTCAAAGGCAGGATGACAGTTTTTCCTTTTCCATAGCTTAACCCTGAAAATGATAAATCCCTTCAGTTTGATTTGGCTTCACTTGTGCAGTGTGCCCCTATGGGTGAGAACGTGCACACACATACACACACACACACACACACACACAAAACGTTTTAGTCTGGAGAGCCCCAGAAAGGAAGGGGTGCTCGGGAGAAAAGCAGTGTGCGTGTCAGTCTCTCTCGTAAGTGTTAGTACTTGTAGCAAAAGTTGTATCTTGGAGCTGCCAAAATAGTAGGGCTTTTTAAGATGCCTTTTGGAATCATTAAAAATTCCCAAACATACATCCAACCACCCCTGACATCCAGAAGATTAACAAAACGTTACTCATTCTGCTTCAATTCACGTGTCTGCTTGGCTTTGCCACAAACACGTTTCGCCTTCCAGCCGGGGATTAAGCTTCCGTGTTAGGCCATGACTGGCGTGAAAGCAACTCCTCCGTTCGTTCCCCTTGGCGGGGATGGAAAGCCTCCTTGCTCACCGGTGTGAAATCCTGAATGGAATCAAGGACTCCTGGAGCCAAAGCGGGTTTCAAGGTCCCTGCCGTGGCTGGCCAAAGGTTTCCTAATCCTAACATTTCACTGATCTCTCTCTAATGTTTCGTGGATTTCTGTGAACAAGGACGTGAACTCAGATGTGTTTTTCTAAGAAAAAGACCATTCTGTGGCACGCTCTCACCT